CCTTTGCTGGGTTATGCTGGTCCTTTGCTGGTTTATGCTGGTCCTTTTGCTGGTTTATGCTAGTCCTTTGCTGGTTTAAGCTGGTCCTTTGCTGGTTTAAGATGGTCCTTTGCTGGTTTAAGATGGTCCTTTGCTGGTTTATGCTGGTCCTTTGCTGGTTTATGCTAGTCCTTTGCTGGTTTAAACTGGTCCTTTTGCTGGTTTATTCAGCACATGACCAGCATAAACCAGCAAAAGGACCAGCATAAACCAGCAAAGGACCAGCTTAAACCAGCATCCCAGCATCAAAACATACCTAACCAGCATATGCTGTTTTTTTCAACAGGCTTGTGTTTCATAGAAGAAAGAAAGTCATACAGGTTCGGAAACATATGAATGTACCTAACTGATGATAGGAATTTAATTTCATCTCTATCAATTGAGTTACTTCAATACAGTGGACCCAAAAAGTATTTGGACAATTAAGCCACAGTTAAAAATGTTTGTTTTATATACATACTATATAAAAAGTGTCATTTGTTTTAAATAAATATAGCATAAGCACACTTTTCAATCAAAACAGCTCACAAAATGAAGTTTGTTAGGTTTCAAAATCCACTGTCCTGCTTTCAGAAACAGAAGCAAAGTTGAGTTGCTCAAAACTGTGAGTAAATGGCTCCATTCCAGACCTTGCTGCATGTTTGCAGTGTCGATGGAGACGATTCTGACAGACACAGAGGATTTCATTCAATAGCAAAATAATTTAAATCAGCTTTGCTGCAGATGTTAAAATAGGTGACACATTAGAAAATCCACTTACACTGAACTCATGCTACTGACAAATGTATCTATCTAGTGTGTTGTCAAAAGGTGTGATGACGATATGACACGGCCATGAGGTTTTAAAAGTTTCCTGCCGATACAAGTAAATGTTCTCACTGTACCGTATGACTGAATCTGTTATAGCTGACTTTTTCAGATGAAGGCCGAGTTACAGTAATTTGTCAGTCTCTCTACCACGGTAAGGCATCTGTTTACAATATCACATACTGTACCATACTGTAATGTAAAATACCTGTCTCCCACCTGACGCATCTCGGTCTGATGGACGCTGTCATTGATTGTTTGTTTCTTGTGCTCTGTCCTGCTCTATTTTCACAAATGAGAAATATTAGCAGTTTTGGAAATTGCAGACCAGTTGCTGCGAATGATTACTGTGAAGTTTATATGATGAAACACTAAGGGAGAGCGGGGCACAAAGTAACACTTTTTGACTTTCTCAGTTTGTGTAAATCCACATGGGGTTCAGAATAAAAAATGTTTTATCCACAGTAATTTTACACTTGTCTAGTACAAATATGTCGCTTTGTTTCATGATTACAGTGCATACGTTTTTCTTTATTTACCCTCAAAAAATGGAATGTGAAATGTGACAACATGCCCCATAGGTGGGGTACATTGTAACATATGAGGGGCACGTTGTAACATGACCATATGACAGCTTAAAATGTTATCTGATCGCATGAAAAAAAATATACAAGACAAACTAAAATATTTTGTTAATAAAATAAAATAATTATTTTTTTTCAAATAAAATGATGGCGTTTTTTGAAGAGTTAAAAATAATCTGATTTTGGAGTTTGACAATGAACACATTATGCATCCATGCTTGGGACGGCAAAATAAACCAGCAAAAATGCTTTACATATCTTGAAATAATAATTTCTAAACATTAAACATTGACTGTCAGTCTTTATTCACCTGTTTCTCGTTGTTTCTCATTCAAAGTAAATAGAGTATGTTACATCGCTAATGTCATAGATAGAATAGCACATTGTAACGCAGTGTTACAACGTGCTCCATCCACGCAACTAGAATTTAAAACTGGTAAGTGTCTTCTGCTAGTTATCAAAGCATTAAAAAAACGATCTAAACTGATAAATAACAGATTGGAGATTAAAATAATAGCAGATTTGTCTCATTTTATTTGTTAATAAAATAAAATAATTATTTTTTTCAAATAAAATGATGGTGTTTTTGAAGAGTTAAAAATAATCTGATTTTGGAGTTTGACAATGAACACATTATGCATCCATGCTTGGGACGGCAAAATAAACCAGCAAAAATGCTTTACATGTCTTGAAATAATAATTTCTAAACATTAAACATTGACTGTCAGTCTTTATTCACCTGTTTCTCGTTGTTTCTCATTCAAAGTAAATAGAGTATGTTACATCGCTAATGTCATAGATAGAATAGCACATTGTAACGCAGTGTTACAACGTGCTCCATCCACGCAACTAGAATTTAAAACTGGTAAGTGTCTTCTGCTAGTTATCAAAGCATTAAAAAAACGATCTAAACTGATAAATAACAGATTGGAGATTAAAATAATAGCAGATTTGTCTCATTTTAAATGAATAAAAACAGAGAATTTAAATTTTACTATGGTAAAATAAATGTTCAGCGATATCTTCAAAGGATTTTTGAATTTTGGCGCAGTTTTTTCCCTATATAATGTTGATATGGTAACTAATAAATACTGTAAATTTTGTTATGCTAGCATGTGTGGAAATATTCAAACCATTTGAAGAGTTAAAAATAATCTGATTTTGGAGTTTGACAATGAACACATTATGCATCCATGCTTGGGACGGCAAAATAAACCAGCAAAAATGCTTTACATATCTTGAAATAATAATTTCTAAACATTAAACATTGACTGTCAGTCTTTATTCACCTGTTTCTCGTTGTTTCTCATTCAAAGTAAATAGAGTATGTTACATCGCTAATGTCATAGATAGAATAGCACATTGTAACGCAGTGTTACAACGTGCTCCATCCACGCAACTAGAATTTAAAACTGGTAAGTGTCTTCTGCTAGTTATCAAAGCATTAAAAAAACGATCTAAACTGATAAATAACAGATTGGAGATTAAAATAATAGCAGATTTGTCTCATTTTAAATGAATAAAAACAGAGAATTTAAATTTTACTATGGTAAAATAAATGTTCAGCGATATCTTCAAAGGATTTTTGAATTTTGGCGCAGTTTTTTCCCTATATAATGTTGATATGGTAACTAATAAATACTGTAAATTTTGTTATGCTAGCATGTGTGGAAATATTCAAACCACGTGTGTTACAACCAGTGTTGGGGGTAACGCATTACAAGTAACGCGAGTTACGTAACCAGATTACATTTAAAGCTAGTAAAGTAACGCATTACTTTTTAATTTACAAGAGAATAGCTGAGTTACTTTTTCAAATAAGTAATGCAAGTTACTTTTTCCCCCCAATTTATTGATTGGTAGCTCTCCTGTCCCCATGCTGAGAGAAATCAGATGTTACTGTAGTTCTAAAATAAATATGAATATGCATTAATTCTTCTCACTCACAAAAACACAGATTCAGTATTCCTCAAAATGAATAAAAATAATGCAACTCAGAATATGGCGCAAACCTGCAATAATTAAATGTTAAACAACACAAATATCCTTTATGTATTTAATCCTTTTCTAATAACTTCTGACCTTCGATGATCCAGTTCAAGCGTACTAATAAACACTAATTACTCTAGACAAACATTTGTGTCTTTTTTTATTGCTGAAGTGTGTTGAACTTTCTTCTTCTGCATTCTACTGTACGGACGTAAATGGACTTTCCCTTCAGCCTGAGGCTTATTCATTTCACCTTTGGTGTGAAAAGGCTTTTATATCTGCCAAAAATATAACTTTTTTATTTTAAAAACAAACAAGCAAGGCCTGTCCAGATTGAATAAGTAACGCAAAAGTAACATAACGCATTACTTTCCATAAAAAGTAACTAAGTAACGTAATTAGTTACTTTTTTATGGAGTAACGCAATATTGTAATGCATAACTTTTAAAAGTAACTTTCCCCAACACTGGTTACAACTAACCCCGCGTTACTTTGTGCCCTGTGCTCCCCTATTGTGTGTAGTAAAAAGGATACTTTGTGATTTTTTTGTTGTCTACTAATTGAAATAATAAATGTTTTAAATATTTTGATGATCTGTTGTGAGATTAGTACTTAAGAGTGTTGTTTGTATTAAATAATAATAATAATAATAAAATAAAAAATTCGCAAGAAAAGAACCCGTTCTTGTTTCTTCCTCCCAGCATGGGGACTGTGGTTTTTCCCTTTTTTTATGCAGTATGTCAACGGTGACATTGTTTCTGCTGACTGCTAAAGTACCCGTCACTGTTTCTTCATACGAAAGCTTTGTCCAGAGTATTTTCTTCTTAGACTGTGCTGGAAACTTTGCGTAGCAGCAGTTGTTTAGGTGAGTATGGTAATTGGTGGTACTTTATCAGCACAGCTGTCAGACGTATGCTTTTTCTGTCTAAGATGAGTGTTGTTGTTGAATGAATAACATGGGTTGATAGAAAAACTAAAATGAGCTCTGAAAATCTACTGTGATAGACAGTATAGAGCTGAATACCCTCGTGAAAAAGAAGTACACTTTAGCATACTTTTTAAAAGAGTATGTAGTATGGAAATAATATACTTTAAAAGAATATAGCCTACTTAAACATGAACTGAATGTAATGTTAAACACATTTAAATATAATCAAGTACATAACACGTGTTACTATGTTAGTCAACACAAAAAAATAAGTGTACTTGATTCATAGTGATTTGAAGGGTATTTTTAAAGGGGTCATATGATCAATTGTTCCTTTCTCTTTGGAGTGTTACAAGCTCTTGGTGCATAAAGAAGATCTGTAAAGTTGCAAAGACTAAAGTCTCAAATCCAAAGAGATATTCTTTATAAAAGTTAAGCGTCAACCACACCCCCCTAGAACGGCTTGTTTAAACACACCCCCACATGTCTACATCACTGTGTGGGAAGATTTGCATAACGCCGCCCAAATGTTCACGCAAAGAAAGAAGGCATAACTTTTATTCTCGCTGTAGTATTGTTGTTGCCGCCGCCTCCATGTCGTTTAATTTGACATTATTACACAGAGCACTTTCTACAAGTGTACTAAGTATGTTGAGAAACACAGTCAGGAAAGTGTGCTGATTTTAAGAATAATAAATTGATTTTCATTAATATTGTATTGTCTGTAGGTACAGTTTTAATTAATTAATTTATTCATTTTTAAATATACTGTTAAGAGTTGAAGTACGCTACAAGTGCACATTTATACAATTAAGCACACTTCTTTTTGTTTTACAAGAGTAGTTTAACATAAGGAATGGACAAGTATTTTTAAAAGTAAGTTTATGTTATGGTATCTTTTGATGTTGATTTTGACATAAATTAATGACACACTTTTTGTTTTCATGGTTATTTTATGTGGTTTGCAACCTAAGCTAAATTTCTCTGGAAAATAAATCCCAGGCACATATTGCCTCATAATACGAAAGTACATTTCTGATGCTGCTTATGACCTGCATTTTCTGCTCTGATGCACACAGCTCTGGACAGTCTGGATGGCTGCATCCCAGTTTATGGAGACGATTTCCAGTGAAGATGAAGATCAAGACCTGATTGAGCTGGAAGCTATTAGGAGACCATACAGAGCAGTCAAATGTGGGTACACAGCATACAGACAGCCTGACGTAAATCACATAGGATGGAAATAACTTATTTTAACTCTAACTTCTATTTTTTTCTGTTTGTAGTTGATCTGACACAAGCAAATCAAGAAGACTTAGAAGCACAGCATTACCGTGAGCCCAAACACACCAATGCCCTGCACAGGAATAACTGGTCCTCTTCAACCCAGAGGGTCCAGTCTTCCATGCCTAGTCGCTCTATCAGTAAGAGAATGTTTTGATGCTGTTTTTCATATCGATTTTTACAATTAATAAAATCATAGCTTTTTTTTTACTGAAATATGCTCTTGTGGCTGTAACAATAGATCCGAACTTACAAATATTTGCATTTTATTGTATCAGATAACAAAATAATAGTACATGCCAACAAACCCTTCTGAAAAATAAGTATACTTTAGCATATACTTGCTTATTACAGAAATAATATACTTCGAAAGAATATATTTAAGTGTGACATGAGTGTAATGTTTTTGGACTCTTATTACATGTCATTTACAGTGAAATGAAAATATGTTTAAATTGATATTAAATGCAGTTAGCTGAACTTAAAAGTGCTTTTTTTGACCCATGCATTTAAGTACACTTAAGAACATTTTTATATGTGATTTCATAATTAATTCTGCTATTTTTGAAATACGGTTAAAGTGAATGTACTGACAAGCATTTAAACCGAAATATACTTTAATGTACTTTAATTCTACTGAAACTTGTATCTTTAAATACATTTGTAATTACACATGATGAACAACGTATAAACGATGAGTAATGATGAAGTTGCAATTTAGTACATTTAAAATATATTTACTTTAAATGTAATATTGACTTGCACACCATGCAATTATAATCCAGTGCTTTACATGTGCAACACGTCAAAGTAAGTATGCTTCTTTAAAGCATGACAAAATATTATAAAAACATAATGATCTAAAATGTATTTTAAAGTAAAACTTGACATTTTTACAATATAATATAAAGGTTTGACTTCATTACAAAGTACACTTTTTAAAATGTACTTATTGCGTTAAGAAACCATCATGAAAATGTTTTCTCATTAAGTACACTTAAGTGGCCTTTTCTTTAATATTATTTGCAAGTACAATTTTTTTTTGTTAAAATATACTTTTCAAATTTGAAGTACACTCTAAAAAATCTGTAAAAATAGGGCACAAAATACCATGTTAGTTTGAAGGAATTTTCTATTGTATTTATTTTTTACATGTATTTTTACCTGTATTTTGAATTTTCCACTGCATTTCATTGTGTTTTAGAGTTTTTAGAGAAATGCCGGTAAAATGAATGGATAATGTCCCGGTAATGAGCTGCCAGTACTTTTACTGTTATTTCTTACAGTGTACACTACTAAGTGCTCATTCAATACAATTAAGTTCTAGACATTTCCTCTGAACTGACTTTTGCATTTCCTTTTAATCAGTTGATGTTCTGGTGATTTTAAGTGGTTGTTCAAAGTCAGTTCTTCTCAAGTTCACACGTAGCAGAGGAATCACATTAACCATCAACATCATCCACTAATATTTGACAGCCACAAAATGTCCACGTCTTTTATGTTTGTATTTATTAATTTTTTCATTGACACATTAATCTACACTTTATATTTTACGGTACTTGTAGTTTGTTACTTGTAATACAGTCTTCTCCACTAACAATGTATTTATTATCTCCAGTTTCCGGTGTAATGTGTTACATTTATGATGCTTTTTTGCTGTCTTTCCTCAGGATTTAATCAGTCGACTGCGCTCTCCCGATCCACAGAGACGCGTAGAAGACGACCTCTTAGCATTGTGTCCACCGCTCACTGCACTACAGAGCAGGATGTCTTTAGAGAACAGGACGACTGCAAGAATGATGGTTTGCAGCAGTAAAACGCTCACAATGCCAACTATCTGAAGCAATCAGGGCTCATACTATGAGGAATCGAATTTTTCTTGATCTTTGGAGATAAAAGCGTTTGATGTACTGTGAAACATACTGTAACTCTTAGAACTTCCTCCTCAGCGAAAAAGAAAGTTTACTGAAACTAAACTGCAACAACGACTCGTTCTATACTTCTCCAACTTCTTAATTTCACACTTATTTGCATAAAAGTCTTAAAGGCACAGCAACAAGAAACAGGCTGTTTATGTTGGAAATGGTGTTTAGATGCAGAAATCTTTATTAACATTAGAAGTGGACCTCTGACACTTTGTTTCTGTGTTCTGGTTCTAGTGACCCAAAAGGAAGAGCTGCTAAACAAACTACAAGGTTTGTCTGCTGGTGAATGTGTGCGTGTGTTGCGTGAAATGCCCCTTAGTGTCTCTGAGAAGCATCAGATCAGGTGACTTTTAGACAGCATTAGTACATCTTTTAAAAATTAAATCACCTGAGCAGTGTTGGGGAAAGTTACTTTTAAAAGTAATGCATTACAATATTGCGTTACTCCATAAAAAAGTAACTAATCACATTACTTAGTTACTTTTTATAGAAAGTAATGCGTTACGTTACTTTTGCGTTACTTTTTAAATCTGGACAGGGCTTGCTTGTTTGTTTTTCAAATAAAAAAGTTCTATTTTTGGCAAATATAAAAGCCTTTTCACCAAAAGTGAAATGAATAAGAAAGTTAATTTATGTCCGTACAGTAGAATGCAGAAGAAGAAATTTCAACACACTTCAGCAATAAAAAAAGACACAAATGTTTGTCTAGTAATTTTTGCTAGTAATTAGTACGGTTGAACTGGATCATCGAAGGTCAGAAGCAAAGACATTGGTTAATAGAATGGGATTAAATACATAAAGGATATTTGTGTTGTTTAACATTTAATTATTGCAGGTTTGCGTCATATTCTGAGTTGCATTATTTTTATTCATTTTGAGGAATACTGAATCTGTGTTTTTTAAATTTTTTGTGAGTGAGATGAATTAATGCATATTTATATTTATTTTAGAACTACAGTAGCATCTTCTGATTTCTCTCAACATGGGGACAGCAGAGCTACCAATCAATAAATTGGAAAAAAAAGGGAATACAAGTAACTTGCGTTACTTATTTGAAAAAGTAACTCTCTTGTAAATTAAAAAGTAATGCGTTACTTTACTAGTTACTTGAAAAAAGTAATCTGATTACGTAACTCGCGTTACTTGTAATGCGCTACCCCCAACACTGCACCTGAGTGCAATAATTCATTTGTTCTTTGTGTCAAAATGGTTCATTTCATTTTCATTAATCTCAGTCTTTGCGTAATCTTATCTAAATGTGTCTTTTCAGAGGTCTGGTCTTCTGTTGGGAGGCTGGACAGCCTCTCTCTGCTAACAGAGCCCTGTACTGTCATCAGTTTAAAACTTGGTTCTTAAAGGTGAATGTCTTCTTGCATTTAAGATTTAAACACTAACCTGTGTGGTTTAATTTTATTCTATAATATATGAATAAATGTAAAAAAAATTATAAATATATAAATGAAATCATAGGTTAAAGTACTAATAAAAATCCACAAGAAATGGTAACATGATTGCAGATTTAGCATAGATTAGTTATATTTAATTATTAATTTTAATTATTTTTTTTTTACATGGGGGGGGGGGGGGGGGGGGGCAG